AAATATTCACCAATCAGCTTTAAGATTTTGCCTTCGTTTTAGATGCCAGTAAAACCATACACTAACGTTCCTGGTATGCAGAAAATAAATATTGCTGCTAAATTGCTAAATAATTAGCAAATTTACATGCACTTACAAAAACGAAAAATTTAATTCTTATTTTGTTTTCGGATTTTCGCATTTTCGCATAGCGATATGAATTAAAATATAAAAAATTTAATCAATATGTAATCATTGCAAAACATTTGACCTGATCAGTGATGTAATTAGTTTCGTCCAATGGGAAGTTAGGGAAGAAATTAGTAAGCTAAGCCCGCGATATTTAAGTAAAAATTTTGGGTGATTATGTTGATCAAATAAGGAGATAAGTCATATGTTTGTTGTACTAGTTGAATTCTCTATTTCAGATACATAGTTTTATTTTAGGAGTTATAAAATTTAAAAATTTAAGCTATATGGTTTTTAATATCGTAATGGACTAAATTTTCAAATAAAATTTAATAAGTATTATTTTTAAAAATCAAACTATGAGTTTATAAGTTTATAATTCAATCAACTTAGCCTTAAGGCTAAGCTTATTAAATTATAAACTTAAAAACACAGAGTTTTGTTTTTCTTACATAACGGCAATATAATATAGCTTGGCATTTTTTTTACTTGGCCTTGCTTTAAGCTCAGATTGAATAAATTTGACAATAATCGATATTTATTGATTATTGATGTATTGTTTTACAACAGGTCTGTCAATTTATATCATTATATTTAATCGATACATATCATTAACTTGCTACAAAATTTCCTGATTATATATATAATAAATTTAATTTTATTAAAAATTTTAATAACTAAAATAAAAACTTCACTCCTGGGCAACACCCGAGTCCTGTGAGCTACCATTTCTTAAATTTAATATAGTAATAATTATTTTTTTAGTGAAAACGGACTATCAAGTGCAAAGTAGACTCATTTTGAATGTTATAATCTGAAAGTTTATAATGGTCCTCTAATTGTTGACGAGCAAAAATATGTTGTTTATCTATTGGTATACCCTCGGAGTTTTGAATCAGACCCTTTACATAGCCAACAGTGTCGGATAGACATACTTGGTAAGCAAGGGTACCAGTTGAAGTTTTAACAAAAATCTGAATAAAGCAATAAAGTGTACATCCGCTTTTTATCCCTGCATCATAGAGTCTACTGTTATCACCTAATTCATTACCTTCAAAACTAATGCGATGAATTGATGAACTAACTCTGGTCTGGATTTTCTGCTTTAAACAGTATCTGATAGAAAGACTTCTAACTCTACTGTTCCATTAATGGGTGTTTTAATAAATATCTGAACACCACAATGAAGGGTACATCCATTTTCTATCCCTATATTAGAAAGTTTATGGCTATCATCTAAATTAATACCTTTATACTTAATACCATGAAAGGAACAATTATTTCTAGCATGGATTTTCTCTTTTAATTCTTTAACGGTATCCGATAGAAAAGCATCAAATTCTAACATTTCATCAGTAGGAGTTCTAACAAAGATCTGAATACAACAATAAAATGTACATCCATTTTCTGCTCCTATATCGGAAAGTCTACTGTTATTATCTAATTTATTACCTTTAAAACTAATACTATGAAAAGAACAATGGTTTCTAGCATGGATTTTCTCTTTTAAATCTTTAACAGTATCTGATAGCAGGGCTTCTAACTCTAACGTTTCATTAGTAGGTGTTCTAACAAAGATTCGAATACAACAATAAAATGTACATCCATTTTCTGCTCCTATATCAGAAATTCTACTGCTATCATCTAATTTATTACCTTTAAAACTAATACCATGAAAAGAACAATTATTTCTAGCATGGATTTTCTCTTTTAATTCTTTAACGGTATCTGATAGCAGAGCATCTAACTCTAACGTTTCATTAGTAGGAGTTCTAACAAAGATCTGAATCTGAATACAACAATGAAATGTACATCCATTTTCTCCTCCTATATCAGAAATTCTACTGCTATCATCTAATTTGTTACCTTTAAAACTAATACAATTAAAAGAACAATTATTTATAGCATGGATTTTCTCTTTTAATTCTTTAACAGTATCTGATGGTAAGGCACCTAACTCTAACGTTTCATCAGTGGGGGTTCTAACAAAGATCTGAATATAACAATAAAATACACATCCATTTTCTGCACCTATATCAGAAAGTCTACTATTATCATCCAATTTATTATTTTCAAAACTAATACCATGAAAAGAGCAATTATTTCTAGCATGGATTTTCTCTTTTAATTCTTTAATGGTATCTGATAGCAGGGCATCTAACTCTAACGTTTCATCAGTAGGAGTTCTAACAAAGACCTGAATATAACAATAAAATGTACTTCCATTTTCTGTTCCTATATCGGAGAGTCTACTGCTATCATCTAATTTATTGTCTTTAAAACTAATTCCGTGAAAAGAACATATATTTCTAGTCTGGATTTTCTCTTTTAATTCTTTAACGGTATCTAATAGCAGGACATCTAACTCTAATGTTTGACCAGTAGGAGTTTTAACAAAAATCTGCACAGTTCTAGGTGGTAATGCTGGTGTTAAAATTGTGCGAGGAGGAAGGATTAATGATGAAATAGGTTGATTTTGAGACATGAGTCGTGTTTTTATATCTGTCCAAAGATTTTTTTCAAGGATTCGTTTATATGGTTTTACATTATTAAAAATATCATCACCAGATATTTGAAAAATAACGAATATGAGGTAAACAATCTTGTAATGCGATTTTAAGAGCCAAAAAATTTTCAGGAGACCATTCTTTAGGATTAGATGATGAGCCAGGATTTTTGGCAATTCCCCATTTAATAATATAATTCCAAATTTTAATTTCATCCATTTTCAAGTCATCACGTTCAATAAGTGAGATTAATGCATTTTCCGGAATTGAGTCAAAATCTTCCGAGTCAAAAATCTTTTCTGGATATTTTACTACAATATCATTGCACCATTTTTGTAGCCTTTGGGCCTTATTTTTTTGAAAGCACATTTTATAAATGTAAGAAAAATGTAAACGAAGCCATGAAGCTTTTTCTTCAATTAAAAGAGCTTCAAGAAATTTTCCCAATTCTTCAAGAAGAAACTCGTAAGCAACAAGCATTATCTCAAAAATGAATGAAACATCAAGGTTATCCAATGATAACACACCCCCGTATATGTACCTATAATGTAAAAATTAACAATGTTATAGCAACTTTATCTTTATATATGTATATATAAAAAGAAAATAACAAATAACTTACTTGACGATAATTTCAAATTGTTTAATAGAAACATGATTTAAATTAATTGTTTTAATGTTATTTTTATCAATGTTAGTATTTTCCAACACATTACGGAAATATAAAGATCGTTTTCTTAAAATAGCTGAATGAGCTTGAAATATCTTGTTGTTTGTAGACTCATTAACTTGAATAATTACATTGAAATCCTGATTTTCATTAAGGAGTTCAAGATAATCATTTGAAAGATTTTTAAAGAATTCAACCATCGGTTTTTTTTCGTTTATATAAATAGTTGAATTAGTTCAAGTAATGGGAAAGTTTTATGCGCTAAAATTTATAGCATCTGCAGATGCAATATGCGAGGTAACTAATAAAGGTCGTACAGCATTGAGATTTTGATTATATATATATAAATGTATATGACTAAATACGTAATACTGTAATACGTACTAGGAAAACAAATACTAAGTATCTAGCAAATAATCCATGCCATTTTTGTAAGTCCTTCGCTATGCCCTGGACAATAAAATTTACAAGAGTGGAGTGGATTGATTCTCATACAAAGCAACCTGATTGAACTGCAAAACATAAATTTTTATAGAAAATGTATGAAATCACATAGGTACGTAATCTAGCATAATTATTATATAATTCAAATAAATCAAGGCTATATCTTCTTTTTTTAAGTGATAAAATTTGCTAGTACATATATACTAAGGATAATTTTAACGATTTTTTAGCAAGTAAGAACTAACTTTTAAAATCAACCATGAGTTTTGTGGCCGAAGCTGGAAACTCGAGTCTCAGATTAAAAGCTAAATTCTACCGAAATCCACCAATACCTTTTATTATTAAAACTAATCTTACATCATAACCTAACTATTTATAAAATATAAATATATATTTCTCAAAAAGGTCTAGCTTTAGCCACGAAAATAAATATATCAAGATCTTGCGTTTTAATGGATCTGAATTCATGCACTGAATTTTAAGTTCAGCATAACAATTTGGAGTTTCAGAAACAAGCTCTTATCACAACCAATATTAGACAGATTTAGTGGCTACCATTTTTATCGGCCGAAAAATTTATTGGCCTAGCGTTAGTCGATTAGTCTAAATTTGTCTTGAACTTGTCATATCTTAGTTCATTATTTTCTACATTGGACATTTAGAAATGGCATTGTTACCAGCAAAACTGCAAAATTCAATGTCACGAAGCCTAAAACATGATAAGACCCGAACTGAAGCCTCAGGAAATGGTGGCTAGATTGTGGCTGAATCATGGCTAAATTGTGGTAAAAGCCACGAAGAAAAGAATCAGGATTAAACCGATTTGGGTTTGGGGTAGTGCAAAGCAATGGTTGCGCAAAGATGGCGTGGAGTGGGGTGTTGGGCTTAGCTTAGAAAAAAATTCAAATTTGTTTCTTTGTTCCCCCTCGCATGTTAATTAGTTAATTATTATAAATATGGGCTCTTTTCGCCCTCTAATAAAGGAGGAGGTGTGTTTGCAGAAGAACGAATCAAAGTTGTTTTGTGTCCCTACCATATACTGTAACGATTAATTTTTCCTGTGTCTCTTCACTTCCGTATTTGTCATTCTTTAAGTTGTCACTTACATTCCATAATTGCATTACGTATCATAGCCATGTTAATCTTACCTTAATAGTATTAGGCATTACTGTATAATGTATTGTTGGAGGCTTAGTTCATGCAATCATGAATACGCGGTGGTTGTAGCGAGTACGCTGTGGTTACTGCGAATACGCAGAAGCTACTGCGAGTACGCTGTAGTCGTTATGATCAAGCTCTAAAAAATTTTCATGTATATAAGTGCTTGTGATAACATAAATTCACATTCTTTTTATTATAAATGCCTAATAAATCATGAATATTCGAATATCTTAACCATCGGAGTTAAATTCAGCATGACAATATCAAGCTCTCCCTTACGATGGTTACAATGCCCGATACGCCTTACCTTGCCAAATCTTACCGCCTCCACGTATCGAGTATATAGGGTTGTTTGTTGATTGTGTGGTGTTGGTTTTTTGGGTGATTGATTGTCGCCCATTCTCCCGGTAACAGCATAATTATTTTAACAAAATCTAAAAACCATATAAGCGAAATTTTTGATTTGATGATTATTAAAAATTAGATGATAATGCTTCATAAAATTTAATCGTAATCATTGGTAAAATTGAATGTATGATTATACTTAATTAATCACTATTCTTGCAATAAATTGCTTATTTTAACCGGACGATTTTTTCATCATCGGCCAGAAACAATACTTTGAGCTAATTTGATTTTTTTTAAGTAGAGTGACTCAGCAGATTTTCATTTTGAATCAGAAATAAAAAAAAAAACAAACCAATTATATAAAATTTATAAACATACCATTATAAAATCAACTATTATAGGCTCTGAATCATGCATTTCATGTTCGATTCGAAATGGATTACAATAAAATGAGGCAATAAAATATTGGCTTTAGTTTGTAAAATTTTGGAATAAGATATTTCAACTTCTCATTTAGCTTTCATTAACTTTCTCCCATCCAATTCCATCCCATCAACAATCAATAAAATATAATACAAAACGCGTTCATATCCGTGGATCATAATTTTCTCTTATATGTACGTTTTTCAAAAGTGGAAATATAGCAATTCTATATTCGAATGATTAAAGATGAGCACGTTTTATGGGTTAATACGAATTAAAGTTTAATTCCGAATTTTGCTTAGTATCTGTTTGCCTTAATGAATGCAGATTATTTTTTTATAATTCACCTTATTGACATTAGAATACAGATATTTTACAAATTCACGAATTTCGAATGTACATTTTCTTTTACGAATAAATTCTTTTGACTTTAACATGTCGAATTTTTTATTATTATTGTTTTTTTTTGCTTAATATATTCCTAATATTCGTTCAAAAAATTCCCAAGCTAAAAAATAAAGTTTAAATTACCATAATCACTAAAAAGAATTTCAGATGAGTCTAATGGGTAAATGTTCTTTATTAATATAGTTAATAACATTATTCGTTGATTGGCAGAAATTCAAAGCAATCAATGAACGACATATTAAATTTTAATATTGGGACAATATTAATTCTAAGACTTAATTGGTGTCTGCCAATAAATTTAATTTAAAGTGTCTAAAAATTATATTCCATCGAGTTAAAAAACTTCACACTAATCATCAGAAATCGATCGGTGTCGGTACTGATTGACTTACTAGGAATGTGTTTAAAAATTAGTTAGTTTAGCAAATTATGACTCTCAATAAAGTAGTTAATAAATATAGAATAACTAATTAAATTATAGCATAATCGATCGATTTTCAAGAAACAAACGTTAATAAAGTCATAATCAATTTGATTCTTGACTATCCTTTACACATCGTGAGTCACTGTATGTTAAAGTATAATTTTAAGAACTATTTTTTTGTGAGATAAAATCCTTACCTAGATTTACTAATTTATTTACCGGCTTATTTATCGGCTTAGGAAGTTTTGGAAATTTCAAAAGTCGACTTGTGTAAATAGCCTGCGGATGCATCCGATAATTTATTCTTGCAGAGATAATTTGATTATTTGTTGAGGAATTTTTGTCTGAGTCTTTAATTTTTTTAACTTGCTTATATAATTCGGTTCTTTCATTTTTTAAATCATAAAATAATTGTTCTAGCTTTTTAGACAATTCTTCAGCAGTTGGTCTATTATGAGGTTCAGCATCTAAACATTTATTCATTAAATCCAAAAGTAGTTGAGGAACTTTACATTCGATTTTAGGTCTAAAGCCTTGACAAATAGATAACACTAGCTGAGAATCATGTGGAATATCATAATATGGTGGATATCCAATTAAAACTTCTGACATAATTATTCCGAAAGAATAAATATCTGATTTTTGTGTGTACTCTTTTCAGCTTAGATGTGGCAGTGCGATGGATTAAAAGATAAAATATAAAAATCGTATGATTAGATACAAAGATATAAAGACAAAAAAGGATACAAATTAAATTAATACATCTAAGCCATACCTGAAAAGTGAATGATTATGCGTTGATGAAAATCGTACATAAAAGAAATAAAAGATAAAAAAAGGAAATAATACAGATTAATAGATCAAAGCCATCCAAAAAAGTGATAATTATGCAGAACATCGATTTTTGGTTACTGTATAAGGTAATGGCATAGTTTATGCAATTTACAAATTAATAATACGCGTAAAATTACAGAATCACTCTAAGAAAAATAAAATCCAAAATTTTTTCATGTGAAAAAAAAAATGATGACAAGGAACTTACCAACATAATATAATCTTGGAGAACCTTTTGGGTCTAATTACTGGCATGGTTAAGCAACTTTCAAATTAAGGAAAAACTTATTGTTGTAAATATGGAAAGCTTTTGTTCTCGTACATGATATGTTTGAGCTTTAGAGAATTAATATTCAAATATTCATGTAATGAGAATTATATATATAAGAAACATTTTCTTGCCTTGATAAAATATTCTAAGTTATACTTGTTTAAAACTAAATAATAAAGTCATATATTAGTATAAGAAAAAAAAACTTAAATCTAAATATTTGATCCAAACCTAATTATGGATAGTGATAGTGATAATGAACACAGTTCTTATGATGAACCTGTTTATGATGAACCTATTTATGATGAACCTATTTATGATGAATCCATTAATGATGAATTCATTAATGATGAATTTGTTAATAATGAAAATGATAACATCCAAGAAATTAATGAACCTCCTAATATATTTGCTGAGAGAAAAACCCAAAGAGAATCTGTAGCTAAATCGAGTTCAAAAAAAGTTAAAGTAAATATTACTAAATTGGTTAGTTATACGGCTAAAAAGTCTTACATTTGGGATTACTTTGAAAAGGAAAATAATCGTGACTATTGCAAGATATTAGTTTTTCAAGCAGGTATAGAAGTTGAATGTAGAACAAATTATAAGCATGATGGTGGAACAGGCAATATAAAACAACATCTTTTAATAAAGCATGAAATTTTGTCACCAGATGATAAACTATATGCAAATCCAAATCAAAAATGTCAGGCACACCTCGACAAGATGATAAAAAAAGTAACTCCACATTGTACACCCAAACAAGCCATATTAAAAAGAGTCACAGCTAAATGGCTAGTTATTGATTCTCTGCCATTTCATGTTGTCAATGGAAAAAGGTATTGAAGAATAATTAATTGCCTTAACCCTGCCTAGTTATCAAACCATTAAAACAGAGCTTATTACTGCTTACCAAAAAGAAGTAGTAGAACTTAAGGAATTGATTTCTAGTACCTGCAAAACTGCCTCTATAACAACAGATTTATGGACTTCCTGCAATAATGAAGGATATATTGGAGTAACACTTCATTGGTTAACTCCAAACTTTGAGATACGTGATATAATGTTGGCTATTGAACGCATAGAGTATCCCCATACAAGTGAAAGAATAAGAGACTATCTAGATGATAAAATAAAGAAATATAAATTATCAGAAAAAATATTTTGTGTAGTAACAGACAATGGGGTAAATATGAAAAAGGCTATTAGAATTTGGAACAGTGTAGATTGCATTTTTTGTGCTGTACATACAATTCAACTCACTGTAAACCAAGCCTTAGAAGTTATTAAATCATATACTAAACAAGTTCACTGACTTGTTAAATTTTTTCGCTCATCAAAACAATCTAAACGTCTCAATCAAGCACAATTTCAATACAATAGTAATAATAATAATAATAATGTAAAGCCAATTCAATTATTTGATTATGATGATTTACCTGAAATGTTATCAGAAAATAACGAGAGTTTAGAAGTTCCTGAGGTAACAGAATTGAAAATATTATGTACTATTAATGATACAAAGACTCAGTGAAACTTAACTTATCAGTCATGGAAACAACTTTTGACTTTGCATAATGCAATCGAATGGCTCTCTGCTACCCTATATTTACAAAATGATTGTGGTGCTAAAGAAGATTCTTGTAAGTTAAAATGCCTTATACCTAATGAAAATAAGTGGGAGCTATTAGAGAAATTAGTAAAAATACTTGAACCGTTTGATGACTTTACAAATTATTTTAGTGAATTAAATATCCCACTCTTTCAGTTGTAAACACAAGCATCAAAGCATTAAAGCTTAATTTTGCTGATGGTATTGACTATGATTTAGATAAAATTGAAAAAGCCCTTAACGATAATAATAATGGTATGAATAGTATATTTAAAATGGTATCAACCAAATTTATATAAGTAAAAAATAATAAAATTTTTTTTTGTTAGTTCCAGATGAAAAATATGACGATAATTATGATAGCGATGAATACTCAGAAAATAACACATCTCAACAATCAACTATGAATAGAAGCAAAGAGCTACTTTCAAATGAACAAATAGTCTATAACATCCGAGGAGTAATCTTTAAATCTCTCTGTGATTATTGGGATAATTCAGGAGATATTGGGCTAATTGCTATCTTAATAGATTCACAATTAAAGTTAATAAACGCATAGTCAAATGTAACAATAAATAATACAATTAAGCTATTACGTACTGAATTCAAGGCTCTACAGTCCAATGAAGTGGCTAAACATCGTATTCTTCATTAGCACCTTCTTTTATAAGAAGAGTTCTTAATAAAAATCAAGATCAAATTAATAGAGAAATTGAAATTGACAATTATTTAAATAAATCTGTTACCCCAGTTCCAAATATGGATCATGATGTTTATAGTTGGTGGAATACTAAAAAAGACTCCTTTCCCACTTTAAGAAAAATTGCACATAAGTATTTGCCAATTTCTGCAACCTCTGTTCCAAGTAAACATCTTTTTTCGGATACAGGAAACCATATTACTTCTAAAAGAAATTGATTATCATCTGAAATAGTTGGCAAATTATTATTTGTTAAACAGAATAGTAAATATTGTAATGTTTAGATTTGATAAATATAGTAGAATACATATTTGGTATTATATATATAAATTATTAGATTTTTTGATAGAATATTTAAGCTAAAATAAAAAATAAAAGAAGAAGTGTGGCATCTTAGTGAAGTGGTCTAGTCATCACCCTCTCCAAATGGTAATGGTAAATTCCTCAAGGTTTGAATCCCAGAGAAGACGCTTTCAAAAATAGCAAAAACGGAATATGTCAGATGACAATCTTTATTTAGATTGGCCTATAGATGATTTAGTGATCTGGTGCCTGGGGCACCGGTGAAAGGGATTCCGGGTGGCTGTAATTTGTGGGCTGTGCATAGCACGGGTCACAGGACCGGAGATTGAAGCCCATTTGGAAAGTCCCGAGTTTGGAGGTAGCAGCAATCTTCGACGGTACTACATGAGGCTGAATTTGAACTGGGGCCCGAGATTGGAGAACCGAGTGACTAGGTCCTTTA